CATTTTGCTTTAATTATTTTTTCATAATTACCCAGAAATGATCCACCTTGCTTTGGAAATTAATATTGTATTTGTTTGTGATCATAGAAGATGATAATCAGTTTGCAGTATCACTGTTTCTCTTAACAGGAAAGCAACTTCTCCAAATTGTCAATTACACTAAAATCAAGTGATTAGCTTTTTTGGTTATAGGGTTTTGAACATCAAAGCATAATCTAGTCACAGAGGGAGATAGTAAACTGACAGGTCATACTTGACTCAACTAATTAAAACCTGAGGCATAGTAGAAGGAAACTTCAAAGGGTGGTTACACTGGGGAAGAACAGTTGTGAAGTACCCTGGAGATCTTTCTAACATAGCAACTCGTGGTTCATATAGTAGTGAGATACCTGTTTACCATAGAGTGAGTTATAATTAACCTTCTCAGCATATCCACTCCTCTTTAATAATACACTCTATGTCCCAAGAAGAGATTTAAAATTACATAAATAGACAGTTATTCAATAATATATTTCTATGAGCATTTTTCCAACTTACTGTTACAGAATAGAGCCAACTTCCCCATGATCTCTATTTGTGTAATTAATTTATTGGGCTCCAATAAGTCAGTGAGTTAGAATTATTTTAAGCCAAGGTGATAGCCCTATGGCTTCAAACAGCACAAGACATTGTGTCCCTCCACTACCTTTCCTGTGTTCTTTTACTGTTTCCCTTCTTTAAGATTTAATTATTGCTTATTTATGAATATGCAAGCCAGCATGCTGCTCCCAGAAGAAAGTGTTTCTACATCAAAGATAGAAGCCAGAATCCTCCTTGACCTGTGAGAATTCAAGGAGAAGCAGGTAAAGAATTCTTCCTGACAGCTATGCAAATAAATTGCAGTAATGAATGAATAAGCCAAAGGCAAATATAAACAGGAAACAAAAGTGAGGAAATATGTGGGGCAAGGCATATGATGCCAGGGCAGCTCATACTTACTGTATCTTACATAATGAACTATTAGTCCAATGCACACTGCCAGGACAATCGAGGATATAAAGGTGATGAGACCAATAACCCAGGGCTCCCAACAAACTCTTCTCCTGGTCCTCACCACAGCTGGTCTAGAATGAAAACAAACACATAGATTATATCACAACACATCATGTACACTCCTGAAGCAAAACAAATATTTCTGGGGAATAAAGGACATTCAGTTAGGTGGTAGTGTACCGTCTTGGTTTAGAGCACAGCCCTAGTCCCAGGCAGCCTAAATCCAATCTACCTCTGTTACCTGACCGTCAGCAGGTAATTTAACATCTCTGGGGCTCAGTTTCCTCATCTATAAAATAAAATGAAGATG